ATGGATGCTGACTTTCTTTATTGGTGGAAGAGAAGGAAGAAGGATATTGAGGAGGAAGACAAGAGAGTAGAATTTGAAAGTATGGAAGCACTCCCAGTCAAGTCTTTGAATAAAAAAATTCTACTATCAAACGCATCTTATACCGCCGGAACGTTTAGAATTTGATGGGGCGGTGATGGGGTGGCGGCAGCCGCTGTTTGTCTACTCAAATAAACGCGTAAGGCTAACTCTAGTGTGTGGCAAATATGATAATCATGGGGGACGGCTTTCTCTACTTTGTCCATGGAACAAGTCACGTGGGGTTGAAAGGCCAATTGTCCGCCGCACTGATGATCAAGCTACGAAGCAGAGTTTTCTAGCCAATGCGAGTATGAGGAACGGAGGTCAAGCTGCAACCTGGAAGTTTCGAAAGCGACCAAAGCCATGCTGCCGCGTGAGCAACCAATGCAATCCCCATTATTGTCTTTCGCGCGTCATTTTGGAAGGCTCCGTTGTCGATGATCGCTTCATCAAGCTCGGCCTTGAGGACAAGGCCATATTTTCAGGGGTTGGTAATGATGAGCCCATAAATCGTTCAGTTCGAGTGTGGTAGCCCAACACCGCTATCATAACGATGAGGAGTAGCCCGGTTCGCAGAGGCACTAGGCCTTAAGCCGTGTAGCAAGCTTGTCGTTGTAGGGAGTTGCACTTGATTGATGATTCTAGTTAGTGGTGTTAATGGGTAAGTAGGGTTGTTAGAGTCCTCTGTTTGTTAGAGTCTTTAGGAGTGTTTGCATAATAGGGGGAATGGGTTTAGCATTTTATGGTTAGTTGGTTAGCTTAGGTTGACGTGGGATTAGTTCCACTTAGATAGGACTTATCATTTTAAGTTTTTGTGTATTTAAGTTAAGAACGTAATGAGTAACGGTAAGCAATTTCAGAAAACAGGAAACCCCTGGCCATTCTCGCCAAGAAAGGAGAAAACTTGTTCAATCCCGCCAAGAAAAGGGATCCATTCACTCATACGATTTCAACACGTATCATCAACGCGTTAATTTGGAGAAGTCGGCGGTGTGCTTTAGTAAGAATATTTCCACACCAGATCAGGAGTTCTTGGCCACGATTCTAGGGGTTGGTGCGGTGGGGGTCCACGATAAATATCTGGGGCTTCCAACACTGGTTGCTCGGTCCAAAATGGCTACTTTCAGATATTTGGAGGAAAAACTCCTAGAGAGACTTCAGGGATGGAAACAAAGGACATTGTCGTGGGATGCTAAGGAAACATTGATTAAATCCATAGCGTTGGCTCTTCCCCTCCATGTTATGTCCTGTTTCCGTCTTCCTCTGGCTCTTTGTCGTCTTTTAGATAAGCATGTGGCCTGTTTTTGGTGGGGTGCTGAGGATGGTACTCCCAAAATTAGATGGGTGTCCTGGCGTAACATGTGCAGGAGTAAGCATGATGGGGGGATGGGATTTCGCCAGTTTGAACATTTCAACCAAGCTCTGTTAGCTAAGATAGGCTGGCGTATTCTCAATGAACCTCAATCACTTATTGCCCATATCTATAAAGGCAAGTATTTCCCTCAATGGTCTTTCCTGACTGCGACTGCTAGATCTCGTCCCTCTTGGGGGTGGCAAAGTATTCTGCATGGGCGTCAGTTATTGGAGAGGGGTTTGAGATGGCAAGTTGGTAATGGCCAATCGGTCGTCCTCCTTCATTCTAACTGGATTTTCAGTTACCAACTTGATCACCCAAGCTATAATCCGCGGATCTTGCCAGAGGTGGGTGACCCCTTGGTGGCAGAGGTTATTTGTGAGGGGGGAGGGAGGTGGTCTGATGGGAAGCTCAGTCAATGGTTTGACCCGCCTACCTGTAAGGATATTAAAGCGATTCCTCTCCCGCGCCGGGACGTGCCTGATAAGCTTATCAGGCATTTTACGGGCGACGGGGTCATCCGGTTAAGTCGGCCTATCATTTGGCGGTTGATTTGGACAGGAGGAGGGGTTGGTGGCGATCCTCGATTAGCTGGATGGATAAGCCGAGTTGGATTAGAGTTTGGGAGGCGAGGATTCCTCCGAAGTTGAAGGTTTTTGTTTGGATAATTCTTGATCGGGCTCTGCCGACTACGAAGGCGCTTATTGAGAAAAAGGTCCAGGTGCTACCTCGTTGTCCAGTTTGTTGGGATGGCCCAGAGACAATGGAGCACCTGTTCCTTTATTGTCCGGTTGCGCGGGCCCTCTGGGATTATTCTGGTCTGGAGTACTTGGGGGAGGGTTTGCCTCGGCATACTTTTCCTTTTTTTCTCAAACGTCTGTTGGGTTTGATCCATCAACCGTCAGTGGTTATGGCTGTTGTTGCCATCCTTTGGAGGATCTGGCGATCTCGGAATTGGGTAGTCTTTGAAGGCAAACAATTTGGGATCCCGACACTCATGCGACAGTTTAACCAGCAGTAGGAGGAATGGATGGGCCTACCAGCGGACCAGGCGCCTAGGACGCCGATCCCGATAATGCAATCTACAGCACAAGTGGGTGATTCTCATTTGGTTTGCATGTGGGACGGAGCTACTAAGGGTGGGTCGCATTCGGCTGGTGGGATGGTTCTTTTGACCCAGCGCGGACACTCCTTCTGGCTAGAGGGGTCCAGTTTGCTCAAATGGATGATCCTGGAGTGGTGAAATTGCTTGTGCTTAGGGATGCTATTATGTGGTGTATCGAACAAGGTTTGTCGGATGTCCGTTTTGAGGGCGATGCAAAGGTGATTATTGACAAACTTAATCAAGCCGACACGAGAGATAGCCGGTTGGGCGCTGTTCTGGAAGAGGTTGCTCATTATTTGCGTACTCAGCCTGGCTTTAGTGTGCGTTTTGTAGGTCGGGAGAACAATAGGGTAGCTCATTTGGTAGCTAGGAAAGCCCTCTCTTTGTATCCGACTATGAGTCGCTTCTTTGATTTCCAGACTTGACTGGTTTCCAGGATGTAACTGTCTATTTTTTCGATCAATATATGATATCTTTTGACAAAAAAATATTTGATAGGAGCTCTAATTGCATGATCATTGAGTTAGAGCCGAGTCTTAGATATCTTCGTGGAGTGAGTTATGAATCAATCTAATCTCTTATAGCATGAACCTTTAGCAACTACCAAAAGGTGGTTTGAAGTCTAGCTAGCAGTAACTCTTCCCTAGTGATATCCCTCGTACATAGTTATGATTCTTTGTTTGGTTAGTTGGTTTAGTTCAAATTCAAACGCTTAGATATCCTTTTCATTTTATTCAATTCTGAAACCGAGCTTCCACAATCCTAAATCTTTCAAACAAACATGAGTCTCATGGCTGATCGCACATCGCATTCATGCTCACTGTACAACAGTTGTTTTTTTTTTTTTACAAAAGATAATCATTAGAGTGAAATAAATAGATCATTACATCCTGGTATACAGCCAGGCCTGGAAATCAAACGATCGACATGTAGTCAGGAACAAAGATAGGGTCTGTCTAGCTACCAAATGAGCTACCCTATTGTTGCGTCGACCTACAAATCGTACAGTAAAACCTATGTTTGCGGCAAATAAATTAACTATCTCCTCCAGGATTGGCCCTATACGATTATCCCGAACATCCTCCCGGAGGATACTCTCAATTATCACCTGAGCATCACCTTCAAACCTCATGACAGTGAATCCATTTGCCAAACACCAGCCAATCGCCTCCCGGAGAACCAGTGCTTCAACCATCATTGGATCACCAAGGAAAGGAAAGTGAACCCCTTTCGCAAGAATGACCGCTCTATCTGAATCAAGGATAACCATCTCCCCTGCCGCATGAGATTCCGCGCACAGCCCCATCCCACATACAAATTGGCGTGTCAGCCTCATCAGAAGGGACGGCAGGGACCAGGGGGGGCTAGCTGATCCGTCGGATCCCGGGGTAAGGTAAGCCATTCCTGGACTTGCTGGTGGAATTGCCGCATCAAGGCAGGGATCCCGAACTGTTTGCCTTCAAAGACCACCCAGTGCCGGGAACGCCATATCCGCCACAGAACAGCCACTACAGACATCACCAAAGCAGGGTTATGCACCACAGCCAGCAATTTCTTCAGAAATAGCGGGAACGTATGGCGAGGCAAACCTTCCCCCAAATGGGCTAGCCCAGAATGATCCCATAATGCACAAGCCACCGGACACTCCAAGAGCATACGCTCCAGAGTTTCTAATGCCTCCCAGCACACCGGACACCGAGGCAAAACGTCCACCTTCTCACGCTACGGTTCCGTAGAAGGAAGAATTCTATGAAAGATTTGCCATACAAACACCCGAAGCTTCGGGGGAATATCCGCCTCCCACAGCCTGATCCAACTAGGCTTATCCATCCAACTAGCCAAAGCCCTCCAACGACCATTCTGACGATCCAAGTTCACCGCGACGTAGTACGCAAATTTAACTGAGAAAATGCCATCAGCAGTCGAATGCCATATCAACTTATCCTCAATATTCTGGCGCAACAAAGGGATGGTCTTAATGGCTCTATAGGTACTTGGGTCAAACCATTGACTGAGTTTTTGATCATTCCACCGCCCCTCCCCTTGGTGTATCAACTTGATAATGTCGAGCTTGAAGAAATTTCTAACACCTAGTTTGACAATGCCCTCCTACACATCTTTAATGGGGCATGACTCGAGGCAGACTGCTCTGCGAGTGGACGTTGACCTCCAAGACATGCTCACCGGTAAAAAACCATACATCTTTACATATAAATTTGGCGATTGGCAGAAATTTCCTCTCAAGACACACATAATTTGATTTAAATAAACTGGGGTTAATTGCATGATTGGTCACCAAGATTACAAAAAACGTTCAAGTTTGGTCACTCAAAATATTTAAATCCATTGGTGGTACTTCGGTTTACTGAAACCATTCACATTTGGTCGCTCTCTGTCCAACTCCGTTAACTTTAGCTGATGTGGCTCTCAAAGCTGACCGTTAATTTAGTGACGTAGCAATTAAGAAATAATAAATAAAATAAAATTTAATCTATTTTAATGTCCAACTCATTTTATCATAAAATAAATAAATAAAAGTTCAAAAAATATTATAATTATGAGGTGCAGCTGCTGATCCTCGCCGCCGTGCGGAGGACGGGTGAACGACGAAGGGAGCAACCACAACCAAAACACACTACACAGGAAGCAAGGCGACGGACAGGTGAACGGTGACGAGGAATTAGCATAAAATTGGAGTTAACTAAGCATTGCTGGAAGACTGAGATAACAGACTAAAAAGGAAAATTCCATGCAATTTCTCCTCAGAACTTCCCCGACCTCTTCAGTCAAACCGGCTTTGACCGAGATCTGACACCCTCGTCGCCGAAAAAAATTCAGAGAGTTCATTTGCTTTCCACAAACCGTTACGATTCTTGCTTGGACATGGAGTTGAGTCGGCTCGTCCTCGCCGGGAACACCGCGCGGCGCCTCTGTGGGTGAGAGCTCGGCCAGATCAACGCTGCCAACGCTCTTTTCACCAGGTTGCCTTCCACGCCTCCGATTCTCACCAGTGAGTTCATCATCGCGGATCTGCGCGCGTTGAGCCTGTTGTTCGACGCGTTTTGGTTATTGCGGACCGCGAGAGGAAGGAATTTGTCGGAGGTCCCTAGCTAGAGCGACGAATGTAGCTGTTGGCCTGGTGGAGTGAGAAAGCTTAGCCCTTGCGGGGGCTATGGTGCTGCGATCGGCGGTCCTCTGCAACACTTCAGTCAAAGCGGTCGAGCACCCCTTTTGCGACGGAGGCTACGAGCACGGCAGCAGGATCAGCGGCTGCACTGTACTTTTGATAATTATAATGATTTTTTTTTATGATAAAAATGAGTTGGATAATAAAATAGATTATATTTTATTTTATTTATTATTTTTTAATTGTCATTTCACTAAGTTAACGGTTAACTTTGAGAGTTAACTGCCACATCAGCTAAAGTTAATGGAGTTGGACGGAGAGTGACCAAACGTGAACGGTTTTAGTAAACTGAACGGTTTTAGTAAACTGAAGTACCACCGATGGATTTAAATATTTCGAGTGGTCAAACTTAAACGTTTTTTGTAATCTCAGTGAACAACCATGCAATTAACCCAAATAAACGGTAATGACCAGAACGGGGATGAAGCGAAACGAACTACTACTACAAAAACTCTAGCCCGAGTTTTCCCCAAATGATTTACTTTTGGGATCACTACTGAAATGCCTGACCAACCTTTTGGGGGGGTCTATCTCCCCCAAACAACTCGTCCATGCAGAATTCATGCAGAGCATCATACCTCCTCTTCCACTTATTAAGCATTTGCTTATACTCTGCACAATCATGCTTCAGCTTCTCCACTTCAATCTTCGCCGCCGCTGAACAATCATTCTGCTGAAACAGGATACAGCAACACAGGCAGATTATTTGTCATGGGTAACGAAAGAATTTTATGGTGAACCACAGTAAAGAATCAAGAAGAACGAAGTGTTACCAACCTCAGGTCCTTTAAGTTGACTGTCAATCATTTGAAGGGTGAAAGAACATACTGCGGGAGGATTATTATAAATCCGTGGCAGCTTAATGACTGCATGAGCGAGTGAGAGGTCATCTGACAAGTTTAGGTATTTCTGCAGTTTGGGAGGTGGTAGCAATATTTCGGCCCTCCTGAATCAAGTGCAGTAAATGCTGACATCCAAGGATTTACGCATTGAGGTTGCTTCATGACTAGGATATTATTCACGGGACCTGCCTCATGAAAGATCAGATAACCATCAAACAATGGATATTTTGTGGTCAAAGATAAATAAAAAAACAACTCACAAAGCCAGCATGGAAAAGAGCTGAAAGCAGCTCGGGTAATAATGCACACAGACCTTTTGCTTGTTTGAATTTGCAAACAAAGTCACGCGTCTTGGGATCCCAAACTCGAATGAACCCATCATCCAATCCAGCAAGCAACTTGTTCCTACTGCCACTGTATGCTAAGGAAGTCACAGCATTGCTGCTCAAAACAATGAACAACAAAGTGGTAAGCCAGAATACATTGAACTTACATTCTCTGGAAAAGGGAATCAAATGAAACGGGTGAGGGAAAGAAACAGCCAATGCAACTCAAGTGAATGATTGACCAGACATGCTAGTCCTCTAGCTATAGACGTTAGAATGAAATGGAAAGAAATTACTGACCTTTGACTAGGAAAAGAGCTTATAATGTGAGGCCAATCACTTTTGTCCAAGGTAATAGCATTTAGTGCAGCAGTATATACATTTCCGTCTCTACCACCAGCATAGAACACTAGTTCCCAAGAGTCAAGCGCTAATGCATTGATTATGGAGGGAAACATAAGACTTCTTAACAAAACGCCCTTAGATAAGCTAAATATCTGACAAGAACCGGATGCCATATGACGATTTGCAGCATCCGTAAAAGAAGAATGTAATCAATAAATTTCAAATCTAACCTTGCAACTCCTGTCCTCGGAAGCTGAGATGATAACAGCATTCCCGCCCCCGTGTCCCATTACCAAGTCAGTTATAGGCAAAGTGTGCTCTGCAAAGCTATGCAAGTAGAGATTACTTGCTTGATCTCTTTGTTGAACACCAACCACCCTAATTCACGGAGAGGAGGGCGCAACCTTGTCAATTAGAGGGAAAAGGTACACCCTTTTGACCAAAATCCACAAGAAGAGAACGAGAAAGTACGTCAAAAGAGGCCAGACTCTAACACAACCATCCTCGGCCGCCGAAACCAGAAGCGAATCGTCATCACTGAATACCAGGCACGTGATAGGCCTCAAATGAGCATGCCATTGCTGAAGCAGCCTACCGGTTGGAACCTACAGAAATCGACATCCCGACTGAGTTGAATCAAGCTAAGTCTAACTAGTAATGAGGAGGACAGGGCTCACCTCCCAGAGATAGATGTTTCCAGAGATCCCTCCACCAACTAGATACGTCCCATCACTAGTAGCAGCGATAGGCTTTATGGGCTCTCCTAGAAAGCTCTTCACCTCCGCTTGCCGCTATGAAAAGTCAAAATTAGGGCTTGAGAAAATTGAATTGTGGAATTTACTGTAAGTACCGAGTGCGTACCTTGGACAAGGAACAGTAAATAATTGAACCGAAAGAGGCTGTATGGTCTGAGAATTGGGAAGACGCAAGGAAACGGTTGCCGACGAAGGAAAGGCCGTGGGGCGGAGTAGATCCGCAGGATTTGTTGGGAAGTTGCTGCTCTTTTCCAGATTCGATGGCCCAGCAGCCAATGGCGGAGCCAATTGAAGAAGACGCAAATACCAACTCCTCTTCCATGTCCGATTAATACGAGCAGGAGAACGAAATCGGGAAGGGACTATTGCGTGACAGGAGAGAAATTTTTCGAAGCCTTTGCTTACTGCTCTGCTTCCAACAACACTATTTTGCTAGGGGTTTAGGAGTTGAACAACCATGGAGAAAGCTTCTGCTACAGAGTTTTGAGGTTTTAGTAATGGACCCATTCTCTTACGACCCCTCTTGGCCTCTTCGGCATCCGGTGTGGGCTGCAAGATATGATAAAAGCCCAAACCTAATTGATCTCGACGGTACAGACCAGGTCCATCTTATGGGCTTCAATAGAATAACATAAGTTGCTTCATGGATTTAGATAATGGATTTCATTTCATAATTTTTTTTTTTTTTTGAAGATAGGGATTTCATTTCATAATTGATTCAAGGAAAATTCACTGTTTGTTTGCATTTTATTTAGGATTTGTAACATGTCATAAATTCATGATGGGATTTTAACCATAGACCCTTATGAAATTTTAAAATTCAAAGATTGCCCTCTATTGATCCCGAGGTTGTAACCGATGTCGACTTCCTCGATCTTGGACCCCGAAGCGATTTGAAGTGCCCCTTTACGGTAACCTTCTTTCGTGACGTGCCCTCCGATCGCTCCCTGCAAAAAAGAGCCCGCCGGCCGATCTCGGGGGGCACCCTCCGACGCTCAAGTTAGTCCCTAGTGTGGGGGATTGAGTAGTTTACAAAGTGTTTGTAGGAGGTGAGCTCGGGGGGTGAAAGTCACTGATTGCAGTGGGCGCTCTCCAGGTACTTCCCCCGGTATCATGTCCTACCTTTTACTGGAGAGAATGGGCTAGTTATATAGTAACTACCAGGGGGCCAACGGGAGGACAGGTGTCGGCGCCGGAAAGACACGTCACTGGACATGTGTCGTCTAGGCCCATATGCTCCCGCCACCTGGTTGTACACATGTCAACCATGTTTCTGCCTAAGGGGAACACTTATGCCACATGCAAACTAATTGAGTAGAGGGCATGACACATGTGCAGGTAATACAAATGCAATGGATACAGGTGGGGAGAATATATGCGGATCCGGGTACTGGGAGTAGGGGGCGACAGCGAGCCCGGGCGCCGGGAGGAGGGGGTGACAGTTGGCCAAGGCGCCAGGAGGCGAGCAGAGCTCGGAATCAGTATCGGGCGCGGGCGCCGAGCACCGGACGAGAGGCGAAGGCCCGGCGCCGGAAGCGGGGGCAATGGTGGGCCCGGGAGCCGGGGTCCGGGAACCGGACGAGAGGTGAAGGCCCGTCGCCGGGAACCAGGACAATGGTGGGCCTGGGTGCCGGGAACGATAACCTGCCCGGGCACCGGAAGAGAGGTGAAGGCCCGTCGCCGGGAGCCGGCTCAATGGTGGGATCGGGGGCCGGGAACGATAACCGGCCCGGGCGCCGGGAGCCAGGGCAATGGTGGGCCCGGGTGCAGGGAGCCGGGGTCCGGGAACCGGACAAGAGGTGAAAGCCATCCATCGGGAGCCGGGGCAATGGTGGACCCAGGTTCCGAGAGCCGGGGTCCGGGAACGATAACGGGCCCGGGCGCCGGGTACCAGACGAGAGGTGAAGGCCCGTCGCCGTGAGCCGGGGAAATGGTGGGCCCGGGTTCAGGGAGCCGGGGTCCGGGAACGATAACGGGCCCGGGAGCCGAGAACCGGACGAGAGGTGAAGGCCCACCGCCGGGAGCCGGGGCAATGGTAGGCCCGGGAGCCGGGGTCCGGGAACGATAATGGGCCCGAGCGCCGGGAACCGGACGAGAGGTGAAGGCCCGCCGCCGCGAGCCGGGGCAATGGTGGGTCCGGGTGCCGGGAGCCGGGGTCCGGGAACGATAACGGGCCCGGGCGCCGGGAACCGGACGAGAGGTGAAGGCCCGTCGCCGTGAGCCGGGGAAATGGTGGGCCTGGGCGCGGGGCTCGGAGGGAGGAACCCTAATCTTGGGCCAATCGCGAGGCACTGTATGATTTAGTATTAGCGGGGCATGGCACAATTGGGTACTAATTGGAGCTGGACTGGCCTGACCCAACACTTCACCGGAGAGAGTCGTGGGCTGAGCACGATTGTCGGCCCAGTGCAATAATGCACTATTTGAGCAGATGGTGAGCTGGTTCTGTAAAAATATTTTTACATTGGGTATATCAATTGCCCCCTTTGCCGGCGAGAATCTGAAGATTCTCGGGGGCAAGCATGGTCTGCCCCGTGATTAATTCCCAAATTTAATCTTGGGAGTTTATTAGAAGACTATAAATCTTTTATATATTTTTTATTTGTTGAATGTTGGTGTAGATTGTTTGGGAAGTGCACATGTCTTGAATTTGGGGAGAGAATTTTCCCTCCTTATAACTTTGGCCTTCATTATTCTTGATTCCCATGAGCAGAATAGAAGACTGTGCATTTTTCTTGAATTTTGGTCAAAGACCGTTTGGAAAATGCACAAACCTTGGACTTTTTAGAAGAGAAAGTGTTCTCTTCCATGCTTTCCTCCTCTTTATCCTCTTATAAATAGCATCTTCCTTTCTTCTTTATTCTTCACTTCATTCTTCTCCCAAGTGCTCCCTTTCATTGAGAGAGAACTTGTTAGTTAGCGGGTGGTGGCAAGGCGAGGGTTAGCTCAGAAGCTGTTGGAGACTTGATCGCGTCAGGTATGACATCTTTCCCCCTCCCCCCAGCTCTATGTTGTATGCTTGCATGTGGGGGGTAGGAGTACTTAGTTTTTTTTCTTCTTTTTGTTTCTTCTCCGTCTCAGTTATGGCATATCGGCGGGTGATGCCGAGTCGAGATTCCTCAAGAGGAGGAGTTGTCCAGTCAGAGGAGGATGAGGTTACTTCGAGGGGGGAGATGGCGATCCCGATACAAGTCGTCCCTGCGTTTGAAGGAGGGTGGTTTGCTTCTGCACCGTTTATGAACCAGGGTGATGGATGGATACCTTGGTCGACCGCGCCTGTCAGAACGGGAGCTAGGGCGAGATACCGTGTGCGCTCCTTGTTCGAGACTTTCTCAGAGGATGACGTGGCGGGAGACTTGTATCGGGAGGCTTGGCAGACTGAGGACTTAACAAAGAGGATGGTGGAGCTGCAGGATATTCTGGCCTTGTATGGTATGCCAGATCAGTGGGAGTATGCTCTCCCCCGGCCATGATGCCAGCATTAACTCTTGTGGGTCCGGGTGGCATTGCATTTTCTATGAGTCCCTCCCCTACGGGTTTCATGCCCCCTAGCCCAAGTGGCTAGGCAAGGTGATGATAGATTCTGGCCTGGCCACTAGTTCGGTGGCAACCACATTCTGGGCGTTCGTGGCAACGTTTATTTCTCGCTGCAAGGAGAAGGGTATAAAACCTACCGAAGATCTATTATATGCGTCTTTCACAATTCGTCATGTTTCGTCAGGTAGTACCTCTTGGGGTTTGGAGCGTCGCTTCTATGGGCCCAAATCTGATCGGTGTTCCCCTTTTGGGTCTGTGATGAAGATAAAACAAAAGGGCTGGTATGATAAGTTTTTCTTCTTCTCCCCCCTGCCAGGGGGACTCACGGTAGGTGGAGATCCTCTTCCGGATGAAAGTGGGCTTGAGCATCTGAGTAAGCTTCTTAAGGCACCCAACGTTCCTATGGATTTCGATCGGTTTTTAAGTGGGCCTCCGACCAAACTGCGTACCAAGGAACAATTTAGGTTGCTAATAATCCAAGCTTATTCAGAGGGTAGGAGGGTTGTACTTCTTGCATAATAGGTTTTGCCATTCTAAAATTCTTGCTCGCCTTGCGGACTAAGCTATTTTCTTTTCAGGTACCATGGATGTTGAGTGGTTGCTTCGCGACATGGAATCCGTTCAAGATGATGCACCTCCAGGGATAGGTCAACACGCATCTCGATCACGAGGAGTGGAGATTCGCGAGCTCACATCTCAGGATTCCGAAGGATTGGATATCTATCAAGGTCGAGGGGTCCACAGGAGGAGGATCATTATTGACTCATCAAGTCCTTCTCGATTCTCCGCGGGCTCTGGAGGCTGAGCCGGGGTGAGTGTCACTCAGAGGTTATCCGGGAGCTTGGGATCCCAAGCAAGTGGTGGATCTGGGAGAGCTGCTTCAGGTTCGACCGGGTGGGCATCTCCAACTCCTGTGAGCGCGACCCCCAACAACCCGACTTCGGGTAAGGCGAGAGCCTCTAGCTCGGTGTCGGCAATGTCGGCCCCCATCGGGGGCTCTAGAGCACAACGCCTTTTGGACGCCCTCGAGATTGATCATAACGACACTCAAGAGATGACCGAGTCTTTCTACCATGTAAAAAATTCTTAAGTAACCTTTAAATCGTACTAGGTGGACGGTACTAAATCTTTGATTATTTGTAGGTGGTGAAGGAGTCGGTGTCTTCCCATGTTTGGATGAGATCGGCAGCAAAGAAAATAGGCGAGGCCTCTCGTGCAGTAGCTGCAGCAGAGAAGCGATTGGCCGAGGAGCGAGAGCGGTCTGAAAGTCAGGCGGCACGAATCCGTCAACTAGAGAGGCGACTTCAGAGGGCGATGGAGAAGTTGGAGGAGGCCCGAGCCGCTGAGAGTCATACCCAAGATGAGCTGATTATGGAGAGGGCGAGGGCAGAGTGAGAGTCCCAGCGGGTGGAGTAGGAGAGTGCCCGTGCGGAGCAGGAGAGTGCTCGAGCCGAGCAGGAGAGCGCCCGGGCAGAGCGCGAATTCAAAAGGGCGAAGCTGGAGAAGAAACGGGCGAGAGAGGAGAAGGCAACTCTGGCCCAGGCGAGAGAGGCACTTCGGAGGGAGCGTGGGATTTTCCAGAGGCTTAGGATAAAAAGGGATAAGACTTGGAGAACTATGAAGAAGGCGTTTTCCCGACTGTACTGTTTATCCCGGGACATAGTCAATGAGATGCACCCCGGGGCCCCTCTTAGCGAGGCAGATTTCAAAAGGAGAATGGCTAAGCGAGTGGCCGCAGAGGCGGAAGCGGAGAGAGAGGCTGGATATGTTGTTGATTCCCCCGCTAGTATAGCTTCATATTCAGCGGCATTGTTGGTTTTTGGCGATGTGAATCTCACAGCTAACTCATGAGCGACACCTAGGGGGCTTATTAGAAGAACCCCGCCGCCTGCCCCGGACTTCTTAGAGTCACCACCAACGAACATCCTCGAAGTCTCTATCATTGGCGGAGGTTGACCACGAATGCCCTCGGCTATGAAGTCGGCAAGCACATGTGACTTGATGGCCGTTTGGGTTACGAAGGTGATGTCAAACTCACTCAACTCGATGGCCCATTTGATCATGCGCCCGGAAACATCCATTTTATGTAGAAGGCGTCGAAGGGGTAGGTGCGTTAGGACGCAGATGGGGTGAGCTTGGAAGTAAGAGCGCAATTTACGGGAGGCAACAACTACGGCCAATGTTGCTTGTTCCACGGGAGTATATCGAGTTTCAGCATCAAGGAGAGTTTTGCTGGTGTAATATACTGGATGCTCAGTCCCGGTGGAATCCTTTCGCACTAACACCGCGCTCACGGCCTTGTGAGACACAGCGAAGTACAAGTAAAGGACCTCATTATTCTCGGGGGCGGAGAGTATTGGTGGGTTTACATGGTCGTTTTTGAGCTCCTCGAACGCCCTCTCACACTCGTGGGTCCACTCAAAGGTCTTACAAGCACCTTTAAGCGTAGCAAAGAACGGAGCACATCTATCACCGGCCCTGGCTATAAAGCGATTGAGGGTTGCGATGAGCCCAGCAAGTACTTGCACCTCTCGACCTTTGGCGGGAGGAGGCATTTGAAGGATTGCATCAACTTGGCGAGGGTTGGCTTCAATCCCTCTTTGGGTGAGCATAAAGCCAAGGAACTTGCCAGCAATTGCACCAAAAACACACTTTTTTGGATTGAGGCGGAGGTCATACGAGCGCATAGTGTTGAGTGTTTCCCTCAAATCTTCGAGGTGGGCACCCACTCTGATGCTCTTTATCAAGATGTCATCGACATATGCTTCTACATTCCTTCCCAGTTGGCGGGCAAAAACCCGATCCACCATACGCTGATACGTGGCACCGACGTTTTTTAGGCCGAAGGGCATAACTTCATAATAGTAGTTTCCAACATGTGTCATGAAAGCTGTCTTTTCTTGGTCTTCTTTCTTCATCTGAATCTGGTGGTACCCGGAGAACATGTCGAGAAAGGTGAGGAACTGGTGTCCAGAGGTGGCATCCATGAGCTGATCAATTTTTGGGAGAGGATATGAATCCTTAGGGCATGCCTTGTTTAGGTTGGTGAAATCCACAGACATACGCCACTGACCATTTGACTTTTTTACCATAACGACGTTGGCCAGCCACGTCGGGTACAAGACTTCCCTGATAAACCGAGCTTTAAAGAGTTTGGTGACTTCTTCGGCCACCGCCTGGCGTCTTTCCCATGCAAAGTTTCGCCGCTTTTGTTCGACGGGGCGGCTGCCAGGGGCTATTCCGAGTGTGTGCTCGGCCACTCGAGGGTGGACCCCAGGCATATCTTCGAGACCCCAGGCGAATACTTCCCCAAATTCCCGGAGTAATGTGAGGAGGGACTGGAGTGACTCTCGCGGCCAGGCGGTCGATATGCGAACTGTGTGCTCATCAACGAGTGAGAACTCCTCGTCGTTATCAACAGGAACTGGACGGGCAACTTCCTCTCGGGCGTCGATCGCGACAATCGCCTTTTTCTCCTGGGACAGAGCGCAACATTGTCGTGCTAGAGCTTGGTCCCCTTGCACACATCCAGCACCGACCTTAGTGGAGAATTTAAGACAGGGATGGAAAGTTGAGGGGATAGCCCGAAGTTGATGGAGAAAAGGTTGACCGAGGATACAATTGTACGCCGAAGGACAATCAACTACATGAAAGTTGACGATGGTTTCATCGGTATGTTCACCACTCCGAATCTGAACACAAAGTGGTAGGGTCCCGATCACGGGCACCTAGGATCCGGAGAACCCGTCAAGCAAATCTCTGCCGGCCGACACTGTTCAGGGCGGTATCCCAAGGATAAGTAGGCAGGGTAGAAGAGTAGGTCCGCCGAGCTTCCCCCATCCACCAAGATTCTCTTGACCTCGTAATCGGCTATTATTGCCTTTATTACCAATGGGTCATCGTGTGGGTGCGCAACTCCTTCTAAATCATGAGAGTCAAATGAGATTGGAGGAGTGGCTGTTGTTGCTGAGGTGGAGCCCACCATGGCCTGGGCGTTCGTCGGAGATTTAGCTTGCATACCCCCGAGGCCGGCTCCCCCATGGATGACTTCGACGACCCCACGAACAACGGTGCTCTGAAGAGTTTTGCCTCGATCGGTGGGCGGGAGCTCTTAGGAGCATTCTGTTGAGCCTTCAACGTATTTCTTTAGATGTCCTTCTTGAACAAGATCTTCTATGGAATTCTTTAGAGTCCAACAACGCTCTGTATCGTGACCATAACCTCGGTGGAAATCACAATACATGTTCTTCCCTTTTCGTGGTTCCTTGGTCATTGGAGCTGGCCACACAATCGGGATTTTCTTCTCTTGGATGATTTGCAAAATAGTTTTACGTGGTTGCGTGAGGGGAGTGAAAGGACGTTCTGCTTTGGGTTCAACTCCTTCCCGACGGGCATCTCGATGACCTCCCTTATCTGAGGGTGGCGGCGAACGACCACGTGGGCGCTCGCGAGCTCGCGGTGAATATGCTCTTCTTGGAGGTGAGGAATCGCGCTTCCTCTTATGGGGAGGCGAGCAAACTCTCCTGTGGGGGCCGCATCCTGCAGGGTCTCGTCAAGGGCGATATACTTAGAAACTCGTTCTTGGAGATCCACCATGTTGCGAGGGCGTCGCTTTATAAGTGAAGCTCGGAGGAGGGCGATATTGGTCCCAAATATGAGGGCATGTGTGGCATTTTCTGTGGAGAGAGTGGTTACCCCGACAACAATCGTGCTGAACCGGGTGTAGTACTCTTTGAGGGTCTCATTTTCCCTTTGCTTGGTGTTCATGAGGTGAGAGACGTCCACATTAGGCCTTTTCTGAGCGAAGAACTTAGCACGGAAGAGGGTGGCAAATTCTTCGAAGTTGTGGATTAACCCATTGAGAAGTTGTGTGTACCATTGAAATACTACCCCCCTTAAGGTGGCAGGAAAAAGCTTGCACATAGTAGCGTCAGATGACCCCACGAAGGGCATCAGAATCTGAAATGCACTGAGGTGATCCTCCGGGTCGGAAGTCCCGTAATATTCTGGCAGGTGGTGCGGCATTTGAAAATTGGGAGGATTAGGTTGCTCAAGAATACTCTGGGCGAGGGGCCTTCCGTGACCGGGATCACCGAGGAAGCCTGGCGTGAGATGAGCCTCCAAATAGGTGAGGTCGGGTCGTGAGGGAGGGGGCGGAGCCGACGTCCCGTTTGGCTGGGCGGACCCACCAGGGGTTTCTTGTTGTTGACTTGAACTACCATGCACGCCATTGGGAGGAAGAGCTGAGGTCACCGTCTTAATTTGTGCCTTGAGTTGCTCGATTTGAGTTTGGAGTTCCTCAACAGTAGGTTGGACAGACGTTTCTTTGTCTCGACTTCCCCCCGCTAGGCGGGAGCTTTCGGACTCCATCACGAACGGAAAGTTGATATCGGGTATTCTTCAATATTTACTTCGGGGCCCCACGGGGGACGCCAATTGTTGATGCCGAGGTTGTAACCGATGTCGACTTCCTTGATCTTGGGCCCCGAAGTGATTTGAAGTGCCCCTTTACGGTAAACTTCTTTCGTGACATTGCCTCCGATCGCTCACTGCAAAAAAGAGCCCGCCGGCCGATCTCGGCGGTGGCACCATCCGACGCTCAAGTTAGTCCCTAGTGTGGGGGATTGAGTAGTTTGCAAAGTGTTTGTAGGAGGTGAGCTTGGGGGGTGAGAGTCACTGATTGCAGTGGGCGGTCTCCAAGTACTTCCCCCGATCTCATGCCTTACCTTTTACTGAAGAGAATGAGCTAGTTATATAGTAACTACTAGGGGGCCAACGGGAGGACAGGTGTCGGCGCCGGAAAGACACGTCACTGGACATGTGTCGTCTAGGCCCATCTGCTCCCGCCACGTGGTTGTACACATGTCAACCATGTTTCTGCCTAAGGGGAACACTTATGTCACATGCAAACTAATTGGGTAGAGGGCATGACACATGTGCAGGTAATACACATGCAATGGATACAGGTGGGGAGAATAGATGCGGATCCGGGTACTGGGAGCAGGGGGCGACAGCGAGCCCGGATGCCGGGAGGAGGGGGTGATAGCGGGCCCAGGCGCCAGGAGGCGAGCGGAGCTCGGAATCAGTATCGAGCGCGGACGCCGAGCACCGGATGAGAGGCGAAAGCCCGGCGCCGGAAGCCGGGGCAATGGTTGGCCCGGGAGCCGGGGTCCGGGAACTGGACGAGAGGTGAAGGCTCGTCGCCGGGAATCGGGGCAATGGTGGGCCTGGGTGCCGGGAACAATAACCGGTCCGGGCACCGGAAGAGAGGTGAAGGCCCGTTGCCGGGAGCCGGCTCAATGGGGGCCGCCGGGAGAGGGGCAATGGTGGACCCGGGTGCCGGGAACGATAACGGGCCCGGGCGCCGGGAACCGGACTAGAGGTGAAGGCCCGCCGCCGGAGGACAAAAAAATTGGTAACTGATATATGTTAAGTTAAAACTTAGACGGAATTTTTCTGTTTATTATTACTGTTCTTGTGGCAACATTATGCTTATTAGTACGTATAGTTTTTGTTTTGTGTAGATATCATAAACATGACAAATAAATAGAAAAGAATAGTATAGTAATTTTGGACTATAAGTTCTAAATCCCAAACTCTTAAATCTATGATAAAATATCTCAACAAACAAAGAATTGTTACAAATTCATAATGCTTCAAATCTTTGATAAAAATCTTCGGATTTTTAAATTACAAAACCCTCATTTTTAAATCCATGAAGCAAACGACCCCTTAGTCTACCTAGGGCTGGGAAAATAAACCAAACCGTTAGAAAAACCATAATCCAAATCGGACCGCATAGTTTGGTCTGGACCGTAGACCATTAAGTGTGGTATGCTCTAGTCTATGTTCTATATTATTTGATGTTTTGATCTCTTGGTCTGGTCTGGTATTGACCGCGGTTTACCGGACCAAAACGTGAACCCAACCTGACTTTTCAATACGTGTTAACAACTCATTCGACCACTCTCCCAACTCCCACAACGACACACAATTCTCAACCTTAATTTTGAGAATCTCGTTCCCTCCTTCATTCACAACCACATTTCACTAGAGAGTAGAGATAATCGTGTCTCCATGTGAAATTATGTTTATGTTTATGACGTTATCGTACAAGTTGGGATGTTTTTACTTTGTATCTTTGTTATGTACTAAGATTTAAGGTGTCAAAATTATTCATGTATGAAAGAATTCATGTTTTAAGGCAAAATATATTTTTTTTCCTTGGTTATTCGTTGAACTTTTTGTACGGTTGTCTAAACAAATTGTTCATTTTTCGTTGGGTGTGGTCTATCTGGACCAGACTGTACCGGACCAGACTACACAGGCGTGGTCTGGACAGGACCGTAAGTCTGTGTTCTGGTCGTGCCCTCGACCGTGTTTTGCCCAGGATTGCCTTTTTGTGGAAAATTCGAGCCAAAGGAGATGGAGTCGACATTTTAGAGCAAAAACAGAGTTTTAGAGAGAGAAAGTGCAAAGAACAAACCCTAGGAGCTATTTGGAGTGGATTTCTTACCATTGAAGCCCAGATTGCATCCCTAGCCCTAGGAGTGAAGATTGACATCCCATAGCAGATTTTCCTCATCTTTATGAGTATGACTACTCTTATTTCTGTTTTCCTCTCTCTCTCTATGGAGTAGAACTTTTTCTCACTTGGGTATGAAGAACCCTAGTTCCATGTGTTAGGAATCTTGATTGTTATTACATTTGGATTGTGATATTGCTTGAATATAATCGATTGAAGTGTTTTGATTGAGTCAATTGAAGTTAGAATCTGATTAGGTTGTTAGAGCTTCTTCAATCGGTAGTAGTGAATCGATTCTACGAGAGTTAGTCGATTCATTGCTTTGTACTGGAATCAAATTCCAGTAGTGGATTTCTGTGTTCATTGCCTCAGCGTTCTATCCCGGTGAAGACTAGTCGTCTGCCGGGTAGTTTGACTGAGAGGGCTTGATCAGCTTAAGAGATTCCAAGCTACTGTCGGATCTTCCGCAGTATAATCAGCAGTAAAGAAACGAAAAGTAATTACAACTGGGACCTAACTAAGGAGCTAGGGGGACTCATTCCCGAGTGACTCTTCCCTTGCTTTAAAACCGAATCATTTCCTGCTTTTTACTGCTTTTACTTAAATCAACAATCACTCAACTTAGTTTGCTAGATAACAGATATACACGGAGTAGGCAGTAGATCTAGACCCCGGGTTGACAATTAGAGCTTGCATGTTACTGCATTTCCGGACTGCGATTACACTTGGTCGCAGTTTGGTATTGTGTTTTAGCGTGTCAAGTTTTTGGAGAAACATGAAAGTTTGTTACTCTAGTCTTTTCTTTACTGCATTTGCTCTCTTCCACCTGTGTGCCCTCACGGGTTGCTTTTGCTGATTGTGTGCAGGTAGTGCATGACCCGTAGCCAGTCGGGAGATTTACTATCATTAGACCAGGAGTTTGAATGGACATGTAGGAACTTCAAGCGGGCTCTAAAGGCGTGACTGGCTGCGGAGGAGGCGCTAGCACAGCTGCAAATTGTCGACGAAGAAGAGATGGGTGACCCACAAGACCATGATCTGGTCCTTCCTGAGGAGCAGAGCATGGGATATTACTGGACCTCCAGAGTCGCGGACATGAGGTCGCTCATCCAGCACCCTCATGTGCCAGCAAATAACTTTGAGGTGAGCACCTCTGTCATTACCATGCTGCGCGGTTCGGTGGTGTTCCGTGGCAAAGAGGGGGAGTGCCCCCGATCACATCTGAGGCGATTCCACGAGCTCATCAATGGAATCAAGATCAATGGGGTCCCAGCCGATGCAATCCAGCTGAGGTACTTCCCGTTTACTCTGGAGGGGCAAGCCAAGGAGTGGCTAGACACTCGACCTCCAGGATCGATCACCACGATCGCCAACCTGGCGGACAAGTTCCTCACTCGCTACCATCCTCCGTCCAAGACGGCGGACCTATAGAAGCAAATTACCCACTTTGCTCAGGATGAAGATGAGACCATCCGGGATGCTTGGGAGAGATACACCAGTCTATTCCTCAAGTGTCCCAACCATGGTTTTACTTACGCCTTCAAGGTGGGCACCTGCTACCATGTCCTCTTCCCGGAAGACAAGCAGTTGATTAACTCGGTCTGTGGCGGGAATATGCTCACCAAAACACCGCCACAGTTGAATCAACTTTTTCAAGAGATGGCAGAGCAGGGCTATGACTGGGGAACTACGAGGAGATCGAGACGAGCATCAGGGCGGGTGTGCATGCTGTAGCCACCCAGTCATCTGATTTGGTGCAGGTGGTATCGAAACTGGTTTCAGCCATTGATCGTTCTAGGATGATTTCAGGTACAGAACAGCAGCAGGCGATGCACTGCCAGTGGTGTGAGATCTCCCATCACACCGTGGAGGACTATCAGACGATGAGGGAGTCGTCTACTCCCCAGGAGTAGGTGAACTTCATCAACAATGCCAGGTGCAACGATCCTTACAGTAATACCTACAATGAGGGATGGCGCCAGCATCCAAATTTCTCTTGGAGTGGCAACAGCAATCCAAAGCCACCTGGCTTCCAGGCTCCTACAGCTAGTTTTCTAAACCAGAGGCAACCATACCAGCCTCGCCCGGGCTAGATGCACCAACAACAACCACTCTATCAGCCCAGGCAGGGGCAGGCTTTTCAACAGCCCCCACAGCAGTAGTACCAGCAACCTGGTGCACCTCCATCAGTCCCAGCACCGGGCGATCCCGTGTCAGAACTGAGGGATCTAGGGACTACCTTGGCGAGCACTAGTACCCAAAAGTTCAATAAATTGGAGCAATTCATGGAAGCGGTTGCAGGAAAATTCATGGAGATTGAAACTGGCCAGAGAAACCAGCAAGCACTCCTGTAGGATATGGATACCAAGATCGGGCACCTGGCAGATGCCCTTGCTTCCAGACCGGCTGGCACACTTCCTGGCCAACTCCTACAGAATCCTAGAAATCATAAGGAGGGGTTGCACGTCATTATGATGCGAAGTGGGACTATGACTATGGATGCACCGCAGAAGAGTGCCAAGAAGGTGACCCAGATCACCCCAGAGCCGGAAGAAGACCTGGTGATGGAAAAGGAGCCAGAGGATCAAGCTCCAAAGCCACAACCGGTAGTGGCTGAATACAAGCCTAAGCTCCCTTTTCCCACTAGGATTTACAAAGACAGACTGGAGGCAGAGTTCGGCAACTTCTCGTCCATGCTTAGGAAGCTGCATGTTCAAGTGCCCTTCATGGAGGCACTATCTCAGATGTCTAGGTACACGAAGTTCCTGAAGTAGCTTCTCTCGAAGAAGCGAAGGCGGAGCGAGCTGGCCACTGTGGAGCTCAGCGAGGAGTGCTCGGCCATTCTGCAGAACAAGCTTTCGCAGAAGCAGAAGGACCCAGGTAGTTTTACTATCCCGTGCTCTATAGGTAAATTGCATGTAGAGAGGTCCTTGGCGGATCTAGGTGCTAGTATTAATGTGATACCATATAAATTGTTCAAGAAACTAGGCCTAGGTGAACCCAGTGCAACTAGGATGAGTATTCAACTATCTGACCACTCTATAGTTCATCCTATGGACATAGTGGAAGACCTTCTGGTTAAGGTTGGCAGATTCTTTTATCCTGTGGATTTTGTTGTCTTGGACATCAATGAGGACACAGAAGTGCCCCTTATACCGAGAAGGCATTTCCTGGCCATCGCCAAGTCTCTTATAGATGTACATGATGGGACCTTAGTCTTGAGGGATGGCGAGGAGCGAATAACATTTTCCATTGCTAATACTCTCCCTGTTTCATCACCTTTGCATGTTGTTTCTCACCAGGAGCACGAGGCTGTCGTGTATCCTTCTGTGCTTCCCATTTTGCAGGATCCCCCTATCATATTTTCGCCGCCACTCCGTCACCAAAGGAAAAGATCAAGGAGGAGTGGCGGCCAAAACTGCAGGTAGCCAAGCCTGCTCAAAAGAAACCCGGAGACCACTATGAGCTGGTCCCGCCTCGTGAGCCTCGACCGCCTTGGCCATCCGAGTATTCACTCGCTTGCATCCTGCCGGATGGCCAGGTCGAGTTGACGAGTGTTGGTGGTCACACTCGTCGTGTGCATGGCCGCCACCTGAAGTTGTACCTCAAGAGCGTTGTGGATCCGCTCTTGAAGGCACCTATTCCTAAACCTCTCTGAGCATCCACCCTACTGGCGTCCAGCTAAAAGATGGTTAAGAAGCGCTTGTGGGGAGGCAACCCCACCAAGGTTTGTTTTTCTTTCGTTTGTTTTTAGGTTTGTCCACTTGGAACTATGGTTTGTATCACCCAGTGTGTTTTGATGGCTCTAGCCCTGCTGGCTGGTCCCACTTCCAGTCCCCGTTCCTGATCTTCATTTCACGGTAACATCGTTCGCCTTCCCTCTACTCCATTGAGGACACTGACGCATTTAAGTGTGGTGGGGTTCTTTGTATTCATTGGAACATTTATATGTGTGCTTGGAGCCTAGTCCGCTGTCCAAAACTCGAGATTTGAGGGCTCCAAGTATTGTTGTTTGCTTGATGCTTGATCGTATTGGCACTGTGGATTTGATTGGTGAATTGAATGGATTTTGAATTAATGCATGACAACTAGAGTGTGACTAAGACAGCTTATTATGATGACTGAGACGTGCAGTAGAATTGTGTAGGGGTTCAGTTTTTCAACTGTTTGCTTACCAACTGTGACTTGGATTGATCACTTGTTCTTGACAGTCGTTTATGCATCTAGTTCAGGGAATCAGAATGAGAGATAGAGCATATAGGTAGCCATGTGAGATGTGAGCCTGCTAGTTTCTTTCTTGTGCGATAGTTCTCTCTTCCATGATGTGTAGCATTCACGTTGTCATTAGCTAAGACGATGGAGGCATAGGATTAGCACACGACCAAACTGACTTTCCTTATGTGTCATGCCCCCTAGTCAGCCCTTTTGAGCCGTGTGTTATCCTTTCTTTCGGTCTATAATGGAAAATCACCATTTTGCATCTCTTAGAAGGTTCCACAGAGTGGTTTTTACATGTTCTCTGCTGTTTCTGCTAAATATCATGTGAGGGTTGGAGGTAGTTCTTAAAAAGTTGGGCATGTGTTTGAAAAATGTGCATAGGTGGTGGTTCTCTCAAGAAATGAAAAAAAAAAAAGAAAAAAAAAAGAGGAATGAAAGCAAAAGAGAGCCACCACCAAAAATCTGAATATTGCCCATTAAGTAGTGTTTCTTAGCAGTATGGCTTGGAAATACTAACATTTATGTGACCTCCTTCGCTCTTGTGCTCTAGAGAATGTGAGTAATGCAGAATGGCAGAAAGAAAGTAAGTGGTTTGATTGACTGTGATTGTGTTGGGTTGGGAATTGTGGAACCTTGTGCTATGAATACTTCCATCACCTAAAAGGCATTTTCCCCATGTCCAACACCCTAGCCAGTCATCTAAACATGTGTCTAAGACCTCCGGATTAGTTAGTGGTGACACCCCATATGTGAACTCTATCATTTAGAGGCTGCCTTCATGGTGAAGAGACGTTAGGGATTGAGAGAATAAGAATGCGCATTTTTCGCATCAAATTGTCCTAACCCCACTGGTCGAGAGTGAGCGATTCATTTTCTCATATTATCTATAGTCTTTACCCCGGTGAGGACCTAGATTGCTCAATCTCAATTCTGATATCTTGAATTTTGTGCATGAGGTGGCTGTCTTGAGTAAGTGGTTGAGTCAAGTCTATGTTGTGTTACACCTCGCTCTTCCCAAAAGTCAAAATGACTATTATACCCCTGGGTCAAGTTCCGCCGTAATTCGATGAGGATTAAAAATGTGAACTAATAGTTCAAACGATGGTTGAGTTTCGAGATGAAGTGAGAAAATTATTGACGTTAATTAAATTTCGGATTAAACTCACCCGTAATTGTCAAATTCCAAAAATACCCTCTGAGTAACCCTAATCACTCCACCAAGGGCAGTTCTCTGGACCTGGGATGCTAAATCGGTGCATCTCTCCCCACTACGAGAGGTGTGTGCTTAAGCAAGCTCAAGGGCAATTCCTCCGAACCAAAGCAAAGCGGTGCATTACTCTCTCTCTACTATGGTAAGGTTAAGCAAGCTCCTCAAACCGCCGGCGGCGGCGGCAGGTGGTGGGATTCCCCATCGGCAAGGTAATCTCTCTACCATGAGAGCTGCTTGGTTAAGCAAGCTCCTCGGGACAGGAGGTTCGTCATCGGTAAAGAAAGCGTCGCGGGGCCGAGCGGATTCTTCGATCCCTCGCGTCTATTGGTCCATTCGTCTGAGAGCACACAGGAGCGGATCTCTGCCTGCAAAGCACCATTCGTCCGAGAGCAAACCCGAGCGGATCTCTGCCTGCAAAGCGGTGGGAAGCCCTCCCTCCCAAAAGCAAGCTCATCCATTAAGGCTAGTAGCTCGTCCAATTGTTAAGCAAAACTTCGCCAAAGCTACTACGACAGCCTAAGCTAGTCAATTGAAGCTAACGGCTTAGGCAACCCATGGATCTCACTCAGCAGAGCGATGGGTAACCCTCCCTACTGCGAGAGCTGCTACCTTAAGCAAGCTCGTCCACTATTAAGCATGCTCGTCCGTTATTATTGCCATCCCCTCCGAAACAAGCTGGTCCATAGTGCAAGTAGGAGTGTACTATTATTTTGGAAGCAAGTACGAAATCATTGGAACAAAATCAGAGCCAGTTCCGACAAAGTGAGTATAAAGGGGGTAAATTCTACGCCTTACGTATTCTTTCTTTGACGAGCTTTAAGAATTTGATGAAGTGGTTGTTATTGCTTGATTGTGTTTATGATTGGTGATGTGTGGTTTTGGGTTTGAGCTATGCTTGAAGTGAATGTGCATGAGTTATCATTTACTTTAAAGCTTGAGTTTATAAGTTATTATTAAAGAGTAAGAAACAAGTTTTTTTAAAGAAGTAACCCACCTTAAAGAAGGTGAAGTCGTTTTAAGTGGTTTTAGTCACTACCGCCAGTCCGTTGCCATTTGAGATTTTCAGATAGAGCATCAGTTATGCTCTTGAGACTTTTAAAATGAGCAGCAGTTATGCTATTGAGAATCGTGGTGAAGAGCCACCACGATAAGTTCAAGATGTTAGGGGGATGAATCGTTACGACTTCCCTAACTAAGTTTAATTTTAAGGAAAGCCTGGATGGCTTCTCATAC